TGTGGGTTGTCTGTGTGTACAATGAATTGTTAGGTGAATCAGGGAAGGTTCTCACATTCCTGAGTTGTAGGAGTCTACAGTGGTACCTTGGCTTACAGACACTTCAGGTTACAGATGCTTCAGGTTACAGACTCCACTAACCCAGAAATAGTACCTTGGGTTAAGAACTTTGCTTCAGGATGAGAACAGAAACCGTCCAGCAGTGGCGCAGCGGCAGTGGGAGGCCCCATTAGCTTAAGTGGTGCTTCAGGTTAAGAACAGTTTCAGGTTAAGAACGGACCTCCAGAACGAATTAAGTTCTTAACCAGAGGTACCACTGTATTAACAAGGCATCACAAGGTGAATCAGGGTTTCCTACTCAGGACTCTAGTTTTGCAAGGGTTCTAAATCTCATGGAGAGCCTTTATGAGTAGATATGAGGCTCCTTGTTTCAGACACCACCCTCTGACCCATGTTTTCTGATTTCTTTTTTTTCTGGTGTAATTCTGTACACAGTTAACAAAACTTGCCTCATTGGCGGATGTCACAATTCCTGCTGGATAACTGTTTCTCATCCCTGCTTTGCTGCTGTCATTTCCCATTGCTGGTTCCCACAATGCTATTCTGTTTATCTTCCAGTAGGAATGCAATGATCTTGATTCATTACTTGCACATAACTCACTGCAACTTGATTAATTTCATGTGTCCCAATGAATCACTTCTACCTTTCTCAAAACGGTGACTAATTTCCCAATCGGAAACAACCATGTCTTTAAAAGAAGTATGATATAAACCTACTTTGAAAGCCCTGAGCAGATACCCTTGAGGCCAAGGATAATTGTTGATTAACTATACAGAGGTAGAAGTGGGGTCAGCTCTGTTGGCCCCACTCCTGGATTTCACAAGTCTCCCAGTCTGGTTCTCCCATTTACTGAAGTGAGAGAAGGGGAGAGAAAGGAACTGGCGAAGTTTTGAAAGATGTGGATGGTTCCAGAGGGAGTGAAAAATTGGAACCCAAACATTTTACATTTATATTTATTTGCGGCTTAGTCATGCTGGCCACATGACCAGAAGCTGTACGCCGGCTCCCTCAGCCAGTAAAGCGAGATGAGCGCCGCAACCCCAGAGTCGGCCACGACTGGACCTAATGGTCAGGGGTCCCTTTACCTTATTCATTTCTATTTATGAATGACTTTCTATGAATCATTTCATCCCACTTTCAGTACTGGGATTCCCCTGAATGAAGGCAATAAGGATGCAGGAAAAAATTGATTCAGTTTGCACTGGAAAAGCCAACACTTTCCTAAATTATATGTGTCTTGAAACACTACCATCCTTCACAATTTGCCCTTACCTACCTTTTTGCAATGCAGTTCTCCCGCCAAGTAATGTCTACAAACCTGCATATAGTAGGCTGGATGTGCATGCAAATGTATATATTAGTGAAAATATATATACAAAAGAAGGCATTCCATCGGGGGAAAGTGATTTGCATTCATGAAATGCATGTATTTGTTTTGTTTATTTATTGCTTTTATATACTGCCAAGGCACCCATGAAAATAACATGTATATTAAAAGAATAAAAACACGAACATGCTGATGAATTGTCATGAGTACTTTTATAAAAAAAAGTACACTAGTTCGAGATGACATTGCAATGGAAGGAAGGTTCTATGCAGCCCTGCTGAAATAACATAGGAGACAGAGAAACTGAAAGAGCAATGGGTATTATAAAGACATGGATAGGATAAAAGACCTGGCAGCCAGCAAAATTGTGTGTGTGTGTGTGATTATGTTTAGTTGTCTAGTTATATTTTGTTATGAAAACCAATAAGAAAATTATTGAAAATTATTGTACACTGATGTGGAAATGATGGAGAACTAAATTTAAGCCTGGGAAAAACGAGAAAGGGAGAGAAACTGAAACAGACAGAATTGCCCACCCCTAATAAATGGTAAGCTAGGTCTTCACTTCCACAATTCTCTGCAGATGACCTGGCTGATGTGTGGCATTGGGGATCAGGGCTAGCTTACACGGTGCCTCTTCCATGTGTTTGATTATCCCCAGAATTAATATTGCCTCTGCATGGCTTATGAGTTCTATTAAAGAAAGTGCAGAATGCACAAATTCCATTTCAAATGATTTTGATGTCCCTTGTGATTCATCTGTAAACATAATCCAAAACATTAAGGGTAACTCATGACTATGCAGAATGTGATGCCCTATAAGTGAAGTGTTGCATGGTGCACATTTAGATTGCATAATATTGCTCCAGTCCCCTTATGAAATTAATCAGCCAAAGTGCTAAACCCATCCAATATTCAGTGCTTATTTTCCTCTTTTTAAAAAAGAAGCGCATTATATAAATCACTTCCCAGCTCTTGTTAATTGTATAGCTTAGCAGCAGAGCCCAAACTCTGTAGCATAGTCCAGTAGCGACTACAATACATAGCTGTGAATGTTTCAGCTTCTTTCTGTTTACTCAGATGTTTCCTTCAGTAGTTGTCATTTAGTCCATAGCAGTTGATAAGCCAGGGGTCTTAAGCAGTCTATTCATCAATTAACTGTAAATCTCAGTTTAATACTCAGAACTTCAGAGGTCCTGCTCTATGGACATAGCTTAGCCTTGACCAAAAAAAGAGTACTGATCAGATTCTTCTTTTCCTGTTGGCCAGGTGGGGAAAATTGCTGATACAGTGGTACCTCGGGTTAAGTACTTAATCCGTTCCGGAGGTCGGTACTTAGCCTGAAACTGTTCTTAACCTGAAGCACCACTTTAGCTAATGGGGCCTCCTGCTGCCACCATGCTGCCGGAGCACAATTTCTGTTCTCATTCTGAAGCAAAGTTCTTAACCTGAAGCACTATTTCTGGGTTAGCGGAGTCTGTAACCTGAACCTTATGTAACCTGAAACATATGTAACCTGAGGTACCACTGTATTCACTTTTGATGCTGCGAATGAAAATTAATCCAGTGAATACAGCCAGTATTTGCTGCTGTAAATGATACAGAATTGATTAAGACCCAGCCCTCTCATTGTCATTGTGTTTCCTTTCCATTTAAATGAATCGGGTGGAATTTAATTAACTAATTATGAAAGTTTTGTAAATTCATCACAGGATGAATAAGGCCATTTTTTTTTTGGCAAAAGCCCTAACTGTAGCAGAATAGAAACAGCGCTGCGTGGCATGAATAAAGGGCTGGGAGGGAAATGATGCCTCTTTACATCCCTATTTTCCAATAAGGAATTTGAGACAGGGGCTTCTTTAGCTCAGCCCATGCTATTCTGCAACCTCTCTTTGAATCCCAAAGGCAGGCCTTCAAAATCTTTCCTAGACTTTGCTCATTTTGTACACATAAATCCAGGCTGTTTTCCCCCTCTAGCTTTTATGCATCCACCTGGTGCACAGAAATAACTTTTAAAAAAGAGGGAGGAAACTGGTCCCAGAACTATTTTCCCCCTCCCTCCTGCAATCCCCAAGAGGGCTGGAGCCATGATGCAGATGTTTCAAGAGCTGGGCAAACATCAGTGCTTCAGAAGCACAACGAGTCTTTTAATCTCCCTTGTTATGCTCCCATTACCATAGTATATGTAAGGGCCGGCTCGTCTTCCAAAGACTGCAGCTGCAAGTTACTCGTGTGCGCATACCATGACTTCAAGTGGATTGATGCCATTTTATAGACTTTATAAAGAGAGAGCAAGCCAAAAGAGAAAAGCCTAGCGCAAAAATAGCCATAATAGGCATAATAGGAAAATCGGCTCGTGCTTTAAAAAGTAAGTAATTTGAAGCAGGAAATCCAAAAGCCTTTTCAGATTTCTATGTCTCGTCATCAAGCTGCATCCATGCCAAGAATCAGTGGAAGCACGAGAAGGGAAAGGTGAAGAACGTGTTGTTAAGATCCCACAGAATCTGAGTGTTATTAATTTATGTTAAGAGCTCACACAAGTTTCTAGGCCAGGGGTCAACAAACGTTTTCAGCAGGGGGCCGGTCCACTGTCCCTTAGACCTTGTGGGGGGCCAGACTATATTTTTTTGGGGGGGGGGTATGAACGAATTCCTATGCCCCACAAATAATCCAGAGATGCATTTTAAATAAAAGCACACATTCTGCTCATGTAAAAACACCAGGCAGACCCCACAAATAACCCAGAGGTGCATTTTAAATAAAAGGACACATTCTACACATGTATAAACACGCTGATTACCAGACTGTCCGCGGGCCGGATTTAAAAGGTGATTGGGCCAGATCCAGCTCCCAGGCCTTAGTTCTAGGCCTTCAGAATCGCAAGGCTGCAAGGGCAAAAGCCAAAAGTGGAGATGCCTCCCTCTCACATCTTGTGCCTGTAGCCTTTTCATTTCTCCCCCCGTTCAGTATAATAGAACAATGATCCTCCCTTACACTGAATAGGTGGATATTTAAAAGGTATAGAAGTGGGTCATTTTCTGTGTTAGCTTGGGGGAAATGATCCAAGATCAGGGGTAGGCAACCTAAGGCCCGGGGGCCAGGGCCGGCCCAATCGCCTTCTAAATCCAGCTCACAGACGGTCCAGGAATCAGCGTGTTTTTACATGAGTAGAATGTGTCCTTTTATTTAAAATGCATCTATGGGTTATTTGTGGGGCATAGGAATTCATTCATTATTATTTTTTCAAAATATAGTCCAGCCCCCCACAAAGTCTGAGGGATGGTGGACTGGCCCACGGCTGAAAAAGGTTGCTGATCCCTGTCTAAGATCATCCACTTTTCTCTCTAGTTTATTTCCACGTTTAATCCAAGACAACTTGGGGAGACCTCTCTCATCTCTACCCAGGATATCGTCAAAACTTCCTTTGCTGTAATAAGCTAGCATCTTGGAAAGAAAGAATGTAGCTGAGACATTCTCCCAGAGTTACTAGTGTTCAATTTGTGTATGTGTGTATACAGCATTCAATGATCCCAAAGCTGAACTTGACTATGGTCTGTTCTCTTACAGTTCTAATAACCAAAGTCTTGTTGTGTCTTGTGCTCCATCATGCAGGTTGGAGGACATACCATGCTCCCGATCCGTTGGATGCCTCCTGAGAGCATCATGTACCGCAAATTCACAACAGAGAGCGACGTCTGGAGTTTTGGGGTGATCCTCTGGGAAATCTTCACATACGGGAAGCAGCCATGGTTCCAGCTGTCAAACACAGAGGTATTGGGCATGTGGAAGTGGGTGGGTATGGGGGACACATGCAGAAACAATCTCCTGGCACAGCAAGGGTAGTTAATACCAATTGCAGGAAGCTTTTGCCCAGCGTAGGGCTTGATTCCACAATCCTGAGATTAAGAGTCCTGTGCTCTCCCAGCTGAGCTGTCCTAGCTGGTCCAGATGCACTGAAACAGCCAAGGGAGACAAGGCCGCAATCCACTATCCAAAAGCTTGGATAGGCAGAGACCAATGAAAATTGTAGAGAATCTTTGTAGCAGCTGAGCAGGTGGCAAGCAAGCAAGTTTCCCAATTCCACCCCCCACCACCCATAGTCCTGGGTTTCGGCATCCTTCCAGTTAGAACCGCAGGAAGATAAAATAACCTTGTAGGGAATTATGGAAGAAGAGAAAAACCTGTTAAGAGAGAACTGCTAGACTACATTTAGAGGTATCTGCAGAAATATCTTGTAAGGCTTAGCAGGAGATGCGACTCATGTGGTGTGAGATGCAAAATTGACTGAGGTGTGAGGGATGGAAATTTGCTCATATTTGTCCTTCTTTGTACCTATTAGATTTTCAGCTCTGCCTTTAAAAAAAAAAGGGGTGTGCATTTTCTGCTTTCCAGATAAGCATTCCTTAATTTGTAGGCAGAGAATAATTGAAGGTGTTTATTTCTATGCCTAATGCAGGTCCTTCTATGCTCTCAGTGTTGCCTGTTACTGTCATTTAACATATCAGGCACAACACACACAACCCATGCATTTGTGGGAAACACTTGGCCTAGGTTTGATGTGTGAGTTTGGCAGGAGGAATATCCAATCCTGTTTCCAGAAAAGCTGGTCTTAGGTGCAGCTGAGGGAAGAAATGATGTAAGTGTGTCATTTGGAAACAATTCAGAATATTTTCAAGGTTTGCTTTTGAAGTTTGACTGTGAGGGATGCTCTTGAAAGACCTACAGATCTTGTGGGTAGGGACATAGCTTAGAATGTTAGAAGAACAGTAAAGGTAAAGGGACCCCTGACCATTAGGTCCAGTCGTGGCCGACTCTGGGGTTGCAGCGCTCATCTCACTTTATTGGCTGAGGGAGCCGGCGTACAGCTTCCAGGTCATGTGGCCAGCATGACTAAGCCACTTCTGGCGAACCAGAGCAGCACACAGAAACGCTGTTTACCTTCCTGCTGGAGCGGTACCTATTTATCTACTTGCACTTTGATGTGCTTTTGAACTGCTAGGAGTTGGTAGTAGCAGGAACCGAGCAATGGGAGCTCACCCCGTCACAGGGATTCATGGAAAAGCATCTCCTTTACATGCAGAAGGTCCCTGACATCTCCTGGTGAGGTTGGGAGAGAACAATGCCCAGAACCCTGGAGAGCTCCTGCCAGTCAGTGTACACAGTACTGAGTTAGACGGACTAATGATCTGGCTCAATATAAGGCAGCTTCCTATGTTCTTGTGTTTGGGGAAGGACCATAGCTCAATGGTACAGCATCTGTTTTGTTTGTAAGAGGTTCCGGGTTCAGTCCCCAGCATCCTCAGATAGGGCTGGGAATGTCTCCTGCCTGAAACCCTGGAAAGCTGTTGCTGCCAGTCAGTGTGGACAATACGAAGCTATGTGGATCAATGGTCTGACTTGGAATAAGACAGCTTCCTGTGTTGGGGCAATAAGCATTGGCCTCCATAATCACATGTCTCTATCAGGTTCATTCTGTAGCATCTCCAAGTAAGGCTGTGTGTAGTGTGGAGGAGAGGAACTTTGGCTTGAAACCCTGGCAAGTCACTGCCAACTACTGTAGATAATACTGAGATAGATGGACCAATGGCCTGATTCAGTATAAGCAGCTAAGCATGGTTACTTCACATTTCATGGAAGGTGAAATTTCACTGGAACCTTGTACCTGCTATCCAACAGCAGGGCTGGAGCCACCACATTGACAGACACCTCTCCCTGACACCACTCTTGGCTTTGTGACGACATAGCTTTGTTTGCCTGTCATGTTTTTATCACCCCTCTCTCTTCCCTTTCTGTTCCACAGAATTTCTTAATCTCTCTACCCTTTTTTGCTATTTATATGCAAACATCGGAATGATAACTATCTGTTTGGATGTGTGGCAGTGCCCATTACTATTCAGAAGCAATAAGCTCTGGGGACCACCCTCGCTGGGTTTGGCTGCCTTCAGTGCATTGTTTGAGATCTGCTGCTATTGGCAGTGCATGTCATTGGGATGCTACTGCAGTGCTGCTTATGAGCTTCAGACAAGGGAGAGGGGCCAACCAGTAACAACAGCTGCCTGACAAATCCCACCCCCACCCCAGTTATCTTACCTAGGAGCAAGAATGGCAAGAGAATATAGGAATAAATTCTGGAGAAACAGGTGGCCCCTGTACAATATTGTCAAGAGAATACTTACCTCCCACAAAAGCTAACTCGAGCAGGTTTTCCTTTCTTTTTTTAAATAAACAAAGCAGCAAACTAAAATGCTTCATAAAAACAGTCATAAAGGCAAGGAGAATAAAAATACACGATAAAAAAAATGAAGCTAAAGAAAGAATGAACAGCATAACATTTATTACCTGGCGGGATACAAGTTTCACATTTATAGAAGATATGGCAAGTATTCATAAATGATGCCAGATAAAACCATGTTTGGTAGGAATGTGCTAACCATGAGATAGCCCCCAAGCAGATTCAAATTCTGAGAGGTCCACAATTCCCCTGGCAGCATGTATCTTACGGGTCAGCTTTTCAGCAATGACAATAAACTTTACTTTTTAAAATGATAAGTCCAAAGAGTAAGAAAAAGTGCTCTTCCATCCTTGAGCTATTATGTAATGAGCAATAGCAGATATAAAATTAATTGTTGGCAAATAGGTTTGGCGTTAGTACCATCAAAAGTGGATAAAAGATGTAACTTAGGGTCCAAAATGACACGTTTGCCAATAATAATGCTAATTCCTGTTACAGCCTGAACTTACAGAACTTGTGCATGTAGTTAAATCCCCTATGCCAGTGTGTTCCTTGTACCTTACAACCCTGCCAGTGTATGGGAAAACCAGATATTACAGTATGAGCTAGTCAAACCAAGGTTAAAATCCAGCAGTAGCCCACATTCAAAGAATTCTCCCTAAAGTCAGCAGAAACACATCTGGAGGGGCAAGTGGACCTGACCTTAAGACACCGAGGTTTTGAGGTTCTTTCAGAAGAACCATTGTCATTTTTTGCAGAATATTATTGTTGTTGTTTAGTCGTTTAGTCGTGCCCGACTCTTTGTGGCCCCATGGACCAGAGCACACCAGGCACTCCTGTCTTCCACTGCTTCCCGCAGTCTGGTCAAAGTCATGCTGGTAGCTTCGAGAACACTATCCAACCATCTCGTCCTCTGTCGTCCCCTTCTCCTTGTGCCCTCCATCTTCCCCAACATCAGGTTCTTTTCCCAGGGAGTCTTCTCTTCTCGTGATGTGACCAAAGTATTGGAGTCTCAACTTCAGGATCTGTCCTTGCAGTGAGCACTCAGGGCTGATTTCCTTAAGAATGGATAGGTTTGATCTTCTTGCAGTCCATGGGACTCTAAAGAGTCTCCTTCAGCACCATAATTCAAAAGCATTAATTCTTCGGCGATCAGGCTTCTTTATGGTCCAGCTCTCACTTCCATACATCACTACTGGGAAAACCATAGCTTTAACTATACAGATCTTTGTTGACAAGGTGATGTCTCTGCTTTTTAAGATGCTGTCTAGGTTTGTCATTGCTTTTCTCCCAAGAAGCAGGCGTCTTTTAATTTCGTGACTGCTGTCACCATCTGCAGTGATCATGGAGCCCAAGAAAGTAAAATCTCCCACTGCCTCTATTTCTTCCCCTTCTATTTGCCAGGAGTTGATGGGACCAGTGGCCATGATCTTCATTTTTTTCGAAGTAAAAAAAATAAGAATCCCGGAGCAGTTTTGTTTATTGTTGTTAATAATTGTAAAATGATTAAATCACACACATGCTCATCCCAGATGGGTAAACTTTAAAAAGATGGTTCAGGGTGTATGTGACTTTTCATCTCTTCTGTTATGCATTGCAGGTCATCGAGTGCATCACCCAAGGCCGAGTCTTGGAGCGTCCTCGAGTCTGCCCCAAGGAGGTTTACGACATCATGCTGGGCTGCTGGCAGAGGGAACCTCAGCAGCGGCTGAACATCAAGGAAATCTACAAGATCCTTCACGCCCTGGGCAAAGCCACACCAATCTACCTGGACATCCTTGGCTAGCAGCGGTCCCTTTCCTCCAACACCGTTGCTCTGCCCTTCTTCTCCCCCTCCCTACCTCTCCCTTGACCTCAAGCCAACATATTCATATAAACTCAAGTGCCTGCTACACGTACAACACTGAACAAATAAAAAGACAATTACAACTTCAAACAGAAAGGTCCTGACAACCCACCTGTAAAGCAGCTTGGCTTACATATATATATATATATCTAGAGATAATATATATAGAGAGAAAGATATATTCACCTCCCACCAGAAGCTGCCATTACAGGAAAATGTAAGGCGTTATAAGAAAAAAGGAGAGAGCGAGGGAGGAAAAAGAACCTACAGTATTAAAAAGAAAAAAGAAAAAGGGAAAACAGGATCTTTTAACTCAAGGTGTGGAACTGTGAATCCTACTGCGCTCTTTTGGTTCCAGTTGCTGGGCGGAGCTCAACCCATTTGGGAATGCTAAGAGATAATCCCGCCAAAAAAAACCCCTTAAATTAAATTAAAAACTGGCAAGACTGTGCCTGATCTGTAGCTGCACTTTGTGGGCTCTGTCCCCTGGTGCAGAACTGGCAAAGACTGGGCTCTGATCCAGGGTGATGCCCCCTGGAAGAACTTCCTTTTACTGACCCCCCAACCACCTTCGTATTGCCCCCCACCCAGCCCCGACTTCTACTTTCAGCATTTGGGGACAGATGCTGTTCCAAACAAGCTCCAGTTTGCTGATTCTTTCACATGTGTAGACTCTATACAGTTTTGATTTTTGTTATTGGAACATATACAGTTCGAAAGGATTTCATCACCTACGGGTAAAAAAACAAACAAACCAGAACCAGAAAATAGCCACTAGACCACAAGGAAACAAGAATGGATGTAGTATTCCTGCTCCCCTTATTTACTGGTTTCAGTTTTTTTATACATATATAAAAATAATAGTGAATGAACCAGAGTCCTAGGAATGTTGCCAAGGTCCCGAACAGTCGTCTACGAGAACCATCCAGGGAAAAGGCATATGGGGAGAGGACAGCCTCAGCACAACCCCCTGGATCCCACCACTGGAATAAGCTTCTGTGTGTCCGCACAGATCCAGCATTCACCACCATAACCTCAATGTAGCCGTCGGTTCCAAACAGGGTGGCTTGGAAGCCATGATCTCAGTGGAGGAAGTCTGAGGAAAAGGAAGAGCAACCCATTCATTCATATACAACCCAGCTATATATATGTGTACACACACGCACACAGGCCCAAATCTGTCTATTTCCTTATTGCCCTTCATGCTAATTTATATTGCACATTTCCGTGTACAGAATACTTTGCAATCCTCCCTTCGATCCTATTGTGGTAGGTAATGTCTATCCCTGTTTTGGATACGTTGGAGACCTAAGGCCAACAAAGATGACAGAGAGATACTTGCCTGAAGACCACACAGTGAGTTCATGGTGAAGCACAAAGTTGAATGCAGATCTCCCCCAGCCAATGTTGAGGTCCACTGTGGGTTACTCTTTTGTGTCTCTCTTTTATGTCTTAACTGCATTGAAGGATAAGTTTCTTCTTTGGAATCTGGCTGAAATACTGATTGGAGGAGCCAAGGGAATACTTATCCTAGCTCAGTTGGTTGCTGCCTCTCCTCTCTCCTTCCCACCCCATCCTGCTTATCTCCTCTCCCTTCCAACTATTGCTTCAGTTTGTTGTCTCTTATATTTCTGCATGCTGGGGCGGGTGGCAGGGGTGGGTTTAGGGGCTGTGTGGCAGTAGGACATGCATCAGCACCACTTGTCCTTTCCATCTTTCCCTTCCAGTTGACATGCTTCTCATGTTGTCGGCCCCCTGGAAAAGGATAGAGGCATTTGCTTTTGAGCTGCTGTGAGCTGAAGAGTAGCTCCACAGGCGGTTTGTTGGGAGGTTTGGGGAGAGATAGGAAGGAAGGTCCTTTGGGAAGGAGGAGGCTCAGTGAACAGCCATGGTGGCTTGCCTTGCATCTCAATGAGCCCTGGGCTAGGCAGTGAAGGATTGCCAAGAGGGCACTCTCTGAACACCCCACATTCTGTCAAGGGGAAAGTCCATAGATCAGTGGCAGAGCATGTTTTGCATACAGAAGGTCCCTGATTCAGTTCTGGACATCTCCAGGTAGATCTGGGAGAGACCCATGTCTGAAATCCTGCAAAGTTGCTTCTGGTCAGAGCAGACAACACTTTGCTAGATGCATCGATGCTATGCAAACTCAGAATCAAGCAGTTCCTTATGTTCCTATGTTCAAATCCCAACCACACAGTCTTTGAGGCATCAAACCTTTCTGGTCTATATCTTTCCTATCTAATCAGGATGAGGACATGGCATGCTGTGCAGAAGCCCTTGCCGAGAGGAGGAAGGAGGCATGATATGTCACCAGGTCTGAGCCACCACTGAGCAAATTTCAGTGGTAGAGCTTTTGTTTTGCATGCAGGAGGTCCCAGATTCAATCACTTGCATCTCCAGATAGAATCGGGGACATTCTTGCAGGAAATCCTGGAGTTCCACTATCCATCAGTGTAGACAGTATTGAGGTTCATAGACAAAAGGTCTGTCTCAGTATAGGATGGCTTCTTATGTTCAAAGCAGATACAAAAGAGTGTAAATGATACAGATTTGTAATGGATTTAATATTCTCAATGTGTTTCATGGTCCCTTTAGCACCTTCCTCTTTCTCAAATCAACACAGTTGTGTCATTTAATCTAGGATGAGTTTGTATGCTTATTGCTGGGCCAAAGGGGCTTTAGATTATCCTTCCCATTTTATTATGGATTTTACAGTTATAACTCTAAGAGATCTGTGCATAACCGGGAGGAGGTCTTGGAATCCAGGATTGTCCAGAAAGAGGGAACCCCTGTGGCTTATTTTGACTGTGATTGCTGTGTGCTTAGATCATTTTCCAGAAATGAAGTAATTTGCAGAGTCCATGAAGTGGCATGGGGATTGTAAAAGGTTCCAGGGTTGTTCAGAAAGAGGGAACCCATGATTACCATTAGTTTTTAAATCATTGTTATTTATTCAACACCATCAATGTGCATGGCTCTGTATAGGGTAAGGTGTAAAGTCAGGTCACTTTACAATCTTAATTTCTGGGAAGTCCAGGAAACCACAGAAGGAACAGGAAAGGAGATGGCAATCACAACAAAGAGCAAATGAAACTTATCCTCAATTTGGCTTTGCTACAAATTTGAAAGTTATTGCCAACTGATTCAGATGAGCCAGTACATTCAGTTCATTCATGAGAAATGTCTTTGAAAGACAAATTTAAAAACAAACAATCAAACATGGATGTGTTGGCTACCCAGCCAGATGAGTGGGCTATAAATTATTGTTGTTATTATTATTATTATTATTATTATTATTATTATTATTATTACCACCCCAGGCTCCTTCAGGAGGAAGGGGATGCTATGGATTCAATAAATGAATACAATTAACATATGGAAAATTTGTTGGCCATCTAAGGTTTATAGCAGGATTGGGGAGCCTGTGGCCCTTCAGATAACAACATAGGGACTGCAACTCCCATCAACCCCAGCCAGCATGACCAGTGGGCAGGGTTGATGGGACATGTAGTCCAGCAACATCTGGAGGACCATGAGTTCCTCAGCCCTGGTGTAGAAGATGTCATTTCCCACCCTAGAGTCTCACATTTTCCTTTATGGTCTATAATAATCCAGACTGTTCTTTTTCATTCTCAGTTCCACCATCTACGTTCTTCATTACTCACCACCTTTCTGCAGCATTTTTGCAAACTGGAATTATTCCTCCTTGAACATTCCATAGGATATAAAGTATGCTCTTTTTGTATGGTGTTCGTGGAACTGAACTGAGGGTGGTAGTTTAGGGATGAATGGCAGCATGGGTAAGGATGAATGACCCAGGCAGAACGGGAGGCTGTCATTTGCAGGGAGAGATCCTGGAGACAGAGATTCATGCTCTCACCTGGTCCTATGATTAGCCCCACCAAGAGCAGCTGTGATGATAAATAACGAAAAGAACTATCAAACACAAATTGATAGTTTATTTTGAACGAGAGGTTTAGTAAAGATCAAGGTGAAGTAATCCACCATTAATGCATGTCTCCTGTCTCATTCCAAGCCACTCGTGGGGTGTTGGTTAGCAGGAGGGAGCTCTGTTGTGGTTTGATGGGCTGCAGAAGCATCAGTACATTTCTTGTGATCTTTCTGGGGCAGTTTTGCTTCAACTGGAAAGTCTAAGCACTGTTTGACCCACTGGAGAGCTTTTGTTGGAAGTGAAGCTTACGTGAGTCTGGAAAGGTTAAGGGATACCTAAGTACTGAAGAGAGGGATGGCTTCCTGTAATTCAGGGTTTTAATGATGAGATGAGTATTCAGTATGGTGAAGCTCTGCCATTCACTCTATCAGCTGAATGTGTTTCAATTGCTACTCAGCCCAATTGGCAGGTCAGGAGGCCTTTTGGAGCTGCATAAATCATATCATGTACCATGGACAGCTCCCAGTTCAGGACTAGGGGTAGGTTTCAGTAGGTTTTCATATGCCTGGAATTTCCTGGGCATATCTAGAATACCGTTGTCCAGTTGGAAATCAGGAAAATTTCGGCAGTGCCATTTTTGCCAATTTCCCATAAAAATAGCTCAACAACTTAGCCCCCCCCCCAAAAAAATGCTCAACAACTTTTCCGTCCAGATTTTCACTGTTTGAAATATGGCAACCCTAGTTTCAGTAGTTTGTCCTGCACTTGCCAGCAATTGCCCCTACCTGGGATATAATTCCTCACTGGGCCCTCAACCATTACCCTTGCAGTCACATGTACTGTTGGCTTCCAACAGGTGGCTCACAGCTAATACTTACCCACTGCAATTTGGGTAAGTCAATTATTTGCTTCTTCCCATTTTGCAACTGGGGGCAGGGAAGACAACATTTATTTCTAGAGCCCCTTCCTCTGTCCAAAACTCAGCACCTACTTATCTCCAAATTTAGGCTGTCCATGGCAAAAGTGTGTGTGTGTGTGTGTGTGTGTGTGTGAGAGAGAGAGAGAGAGAGAGAGGGAGAGAACACACACACACACACACACACACACACACACACACCATATGCCCAGTCACAATTTATTAGCAATGTGGCTAAAGGAAGCTTCTTAAATGCCTGTTTTTGTGAATTTGACACATGCAATCCATTCCTATATTCCAAACAAGAGCCATTCTCTCCTTGCACACCCCCATTATTCTCCTCCAATTAAAATCTAGAATAAAGAACCCCTCTTTCCCACTGGCAGTCAAGAGATTGTATTCAATCCTAGTCCTATGCACAATAAACCCACTGAAATGAACGAACTTGTTTATTAACTTCAGCAAGTCAGTCTGCTCTGAGTAGGACTAGCATCGGACACAACGCAAAGGGAGGGGAATTTATTACACCAGGTCTGGCACTGGTGTAAAGCTGTGCCATCAACAGGGACCTGGCTGTAGACTGAAGAGGTATAGGAGGAGCAAGGAATCTCAGGTTTGTGAGCTGAATGCAGCCCTTCAAGGCTTTCTGAGTGGCCCTCAGGACTCTCCCCAAGCCACCTACCCTTGCCACCCTAAACCCACATTGGCTCTCCTCTCCATCCTCCTGCCATGCTTTTGACTGGTTAGAATGTGCCCTTGAACTCTGATTACTGTACAGAGGTGTAACTTCCATTTGTTTTCAAACCCACGCAAGTGGTTTCTGGAAGGTTTCACAGAAGGAAATGTGGGCCTCAGGCTGGGGGGGGGGAGTTTCTGACCCCTGAGGCATAGGATACAGCATTAATGTGCTTCTCTCCTTTGCCATATACACCCCCCAACATGACTCCATCCTGTTTCAGCCATTCCATCAGCACATCTGTGCTGGTCCTTCACTTTTGGCATATCTGAGCTGTTCTGCTGGTACATGTGCTGTGGCAGTGACATATCTGGTGTCCTGCTGGCCACAGGGCTTCCATCAAGTCCTTTACAGTTTTAGAAACAGAGATATGAAAGCTAAGAGCTAAAGAACCTAGTTTATGAGTGCAACAATGGAATGTCTAGGCACGCTTTTTTATAACAAGAATTCAAAGCCGAAAATGAATGAACTGCAGCTAAAACATTGTGTTCATTTTTCACATGGTCTCGTCCTTCCCCTGCCCACCCCCCCAATCTTCTTAAGAGGGTCTCTTCTCCAGTCTTCAGAGGGTAGCTGGAAGTGGGGAGGCAGAAAAAGTTCCTCCTTTCCTTCCAGCAGTGGCAATTTTAATCTGAAATCTTAGGCGCAGTACTGCACCCAGAGCTCAGAAATTTGCTTTGCACCCTAAGTCATGCTACAATGCTTTGAGGAGACCATTCATTTAGTATTTGAATCCTGAGTGTCACCATTGCCAAAAAAAAAAGTAAGAAAATCAAACAATAAATCACCCCTAACATAGTTGTGTGTCCTGGAATTTCTGGGAAATCTGGCCATAATCTTGGGCAAACACTTAGGAGATGGAAAACAAGAAGCCAAGGCTGTAATCAAAGCAGAGGAGATTTTATCCAGGGGAGAAAACAGAACAGGAAAGACACAGCTCAAATGCCAGCTTTTCTGGTGTGAAATGCAAGCAGCAGCAGTAAAGGCTGAGTGATGTTCACTCTACAAGGCCCAGACAACAAAAACACACAGCAAAAAAGCAACCTATTCTCCCTCCCTCCCTTTTCTTAAAAAAGGCTTCTGGCTGCTATGACCCAAACATTGCCTTTGTGGTTGGGCTTTAGTGATATTGCCGATGGTGAAACATACAGCCCTCAACTCCAGTCTTGGCAGGAGAGAGTGAAGGCAGTATTAATTTTTAAATGTGGATGTCAATCAAATGTAATGTACTTGTCATTCCTTTATACTTGGTATAGCCTATTAAGGATTTACTGGGCAGCTTTATTAAAGCTACATATTTTTATAAAGAAGCCTTACACCCCCTCCCCGTTTTTGTGCTAACTCAGAGCCATTCTGCAGACAAATAGTCACACACACACACACACACACACACACACACACACGAAACACACACATTTTAGGTACCTATTCTGTGAAGACTGCAGCTGGCCCAGTTGCAGACCTCATGTGGCTTAAGCACAATCAGGAGATTCCTGTATAATTAATTGTTTTTTCAACTGTATCAATTCTGATTGCGGGGGATCAATCAAACAGTGGAGACTGGGATGTCAGGGAAAATGGGGCATGGCCTCACTAACCTCAGACAGTTCTTAGGCAGCCCCCACCTGCCTGCCTTCCTACTTACAACCAGCCCCAGAGGCTGCACTGCTGGTCAGTTAAATCTGGTCAGTTAAGTCTCAGTGCTGCCCTACGTAGAACTCAGCAATGAAGAGGATGGGGATAAAACCAGAGTTAGTTGAATCTCCCTGCCGATGGCTCTGAATCGGCCTGCTGTTGGGGATCCTTCCTTTCTACCCTACCAGTCCCAATGAGCACCCAATGTCTGAATGTACAGTCGTACCTTGGAAGTCTAAGCTGTTCAAAAACCAAGGTACAACTGTACTACCATTTCTGTTATATCACAGAGTAAGGTAGGATTGAACTCCTTAAACTGCTAGTGGCAGGGCAGGGAAGAGTTCTTTTCTATGCAAGAAGCAAGAAAACATTCCACCTGGCAGCATATACTTGTAGACTAGTACTAATACTGTTAAAATTACTGTTAACAGTAATATTAATGATGTTTTTAATATTGTATTTTTTAATTGTTGTAAACTATCCTAGGACCTTATAGAGAAGAGTGAATAATAATAATAATAATAATAATAATAATAATAAGGATAAAAAGAAGGATTAAAAGAAGGATCATAATTGTAAAGTAAAAAATAAATTGCATGACTTTGCTGATCATGTAACTCAACATATATCACCTGCTAGTACTTTGCACCAGGCCTGGGGGCCAAATGTGCTCCTTTGGGGCCTTGCACCTCTTCCCAAGCCACACCTCTTTTCCCCAGGCTACACCCCTCACGGGCACTACTTTGCACTCCAAATGCTTTAGGCTGGTATTTCCTACTTCCATAGATGGAGGACAGAGAGGGGAGTGTAGAAACTAGCCTCTGGTCAAACATAAAAAATGTAACATTAATTGCTTTTATTTATGCTTTGGCCTCTGGCCCTGCCTGTCAGTTGCATGTGGCCCCAAAAAGCGAATATGGTCCCCAGGTGGAAAACAGTTCCATACCTCTGCTTTTACGTCATTACTCTGACAGCTTAAATTTGAGATAGCTCAGCTGTCAATCAGCCAGTTGAGGTATTCCAGATCTACCTCCATAAGTTTTTTGCCTAGTGTACAACCATTATCTTC